CTTTGAAAAATAAATCTGTTCTTTTTTCTTATAAAATGCTAAATAAAACAAAAATATTGGTGGTAATTTTTGACTGTGACTTTACAAACGGCACCCCAGAGTTATGGAGTTTTTCATGCTCTACAGCTATGTTCTTTGTTGCCTTCTTGGCACAGTGTGATGGGCTTCATAAGACCTGAAAATAAAAATACTGCAGATGTTAACTTTAACAAAATATAAATTTATGTTTGACAGTTTTTTCCCACAGGCAATGTATGTCTTTTGTTTAGCTTTTGTTTAATATTAGTTACTTATTAATGATAAAATGGCTGTAATTCACTCCCTTTTATAGATTTTGGGCTCAACTTTGTTGTAATATTAGCGAATAGTCATCCTTCCACATACTCTAAGAGCTAACAATTGATTTTTTTAAACATCTTCATTTAAAAGTTTGGCATGCAAATTGAGGGTTACACATTCTTTCAAAGTATGCAGTTATTTTTTACAAAGGAAATGGAGTAGTTTTAAAGGGGCAATATCATGTATTTTCCAGGCACATGGTTCAATTCTATACRGCAATCAAGTAACTATGTTACCTTCCGTTGATATGAAAATGTTGTATATGTCAAAAAACAATTTGATTTCGCTGARTTAATTGCCTTGAAATTGGCCTTTGTCTCTTTAAGAACCTCCTACTATTTTTCATTAAAGTTTTACTTGGATATTTATGTTTTTAAACACAAGTATGTGAAGTATTTTTGTTATGACAATATGACAGAAAAGTTTACAACTGCTTTTATTCGTGACTGCTAAAAAGCACAATGTAGCAATAGCATAATGTTACTCATAAAAGCTTAGAAATATTTGTAAGTTATGTCATCTTCATTTCAGTAATGGAAATACAGTACCTTTTCAAAAGGCATCACACTATAATGTTTACAGAACTTAAACCACTTTATGTAAGTTTTGTCCAACACTGAAGTTGTCTTCATTGAACGTAGAATAAAAATATCTACTAGAAGCCTATTTTGGACATATACAGTACAGACCAAAAGTTTGGACACACCTTCTCACTCAAAAAGTTTTCTTCATTTTCATGACTATGCAAAGTGTAGATTCACAATGAAGGCATCAAAGCTATAAATTAACACATGTGGAATTTTATACTTAAAGGCACAGTGTGTAGGATTTTGTCAAGTCTTTTAGCTGAAATTGAGATAATCACTAATG